CTAGAAATATTCAATTTATTTCGTTGAGATAGATGACATTTTTTTAAACTGACTGAACGAGGAATCTATTCGCAAAATAAGGGGAACAATGGTATTTCAAGACTTAATGTTAAATACGACATTTTTTTTCGTTGACCGTCGAATTAACCCTTTGCGCTCGGAGGTTTCTCACTAGAAATATTCGACATTTTCTGATGAGATACAGATGACATTATTTGAAACTAATTTAATAATTCACAGATAAATTGAGCAACAAAGCTATTTTATTTGAATGCTCCACGTGTATATCACTCATACTTCCTGAATTCTGAAGTTCTGTTCGGAGAACGGTCGTTTGGCACTGTGCGTCATAGCTGAAATGTTAACCTTTTGCACTCGAGAGGCGACTCACAGTCGTAAGCTGATTTAATACAGTAATATTATAAACTTTAATGTTTACTATTAACCTTTGCATACTGCGTGAATACGCGAAATATCGAAGGAAAACAGCTCTGTCGCCTAATTTATGTGTCATTCCTTGATAAGTTAACCCTTTGAACTCTGTAGGCTCCAATATTGCATCAGTTATAACATCAAATATTTTAATGAATCAAAGAAACTGCCCTACAATTATCAGATTTTCCACAAATCCAAATTTTGCACTAAGGAAAACGAAAGATCTGCGAAATGTTATAGCAGTTTTCATTTTCTATAGATACTATAAAAATTAGTTGCAGTTGCATAGATTGCAAAACCATCTGGACTACTAAAGGTCAACACATCGCGTTAATTAGAAAAATGGCCGATTTTTCAATGAGATCAACTCATAAATTCATGATACATCACTCTATGCAAATATCTCATTACTTCTTCATAAATATCAAACAAATAATCTAATAACATTCAATACCTTTCTAAATGACATGGTAATTAGCAAAGTTACGAAGGTTTAAATAAAACCGAGATCTCCCGTTTCCCGTACGCAATGCGTTAATAAAGTATCTCGTCTCCATCTAATTGGAGAATATTGAATATCTCGAGTGGAAGACTTTCGAGTGCAAAGGTTAAGCAGTCCATATATAATTCCGCTTCAGCCGAGGGTTCCGTTTCAAAGAATCTCCGCGCGCGAAGGGTTGGCGGACGCGGAATTGAGAGTTACCCTTTGTCCTCGCGGCGATACGAAGTAACAATCGTAAGATAGGCCGCGATGGCGACGGTAACGAGAAGCGGACACGATTATCGCGGTTAACGGGAAACTCGAGCAATAATGCAAGCGGAGCGGCATAATAAAACGCGCGAGGGTGAGAGCCGCGCGACTGCGGTGACGCGCGGATAATGCCGCGACGCGCCCGGTGACGGGTCCACGCGAGCGAGCGAACGGATGACAATAAAGAACAAATATCGAGCGTGTAAAATAATATCGCGCGGCGGCCGCGGGAAGCGAGTCGCGTAACGAGTAATTAACGAAACACACCGCGCGCCGGCTGGTCTCGCATTATTCCGGGGGAATTACGATCATCGCGCGGCACGCGTCGATATTAGAAATTAATTGCAGCCCGCGATCGATCGGGAACGTTAGGCGCGAGCACGTCTCTCCGTTATATAAAAAGAAAGGGTTCCCGATTGAACGCGCGTGAGTAGGTTGCACGGCACGGCAAGTTTGAAAAATTAAAAAAAAAATAAAGAATAAGAAAAATCGAAGTCCTCGGTTCTGCGTTCGACTCGCTTAGCGAATCTTGGTTCTTTGGAAGAAATTAGAAACGGAGGATCGGTTAGAGTTTTGATGGTGCAATTTCTGTTTGACACTAGAACTACTATTTGGTACGATTAATATGCAATTCTTATAAAAATTGTGACAATAGATTATTTTCAGTGCAAAAGGTTAACATTTCAGCTATGACGCACAGTGCCGAACGATCGTTCTTTGAACAGAAGTTCAGAATTCAGGAAGTGTGAGTGATAAAACGCAAATGCTTCAGACGTTCTTAAAGATTTTCATTTCGCATCGGTTCTTTTGATGTTACGATTGTTTTCTAGTCGTTCGGAAACGTCGGTCCAGTGACTGACACGGCACTTAGTGTGTTAAACAATAGAAGAAATAGAATCAACGTCCTGATCTCTTGCCGTTTGAGCAATCGAATCATTCATTCGCGACTTGGCGTTCCAAATATGAAAATTTCATCTTCTGAAAATGTCGACATTCGTCTGATATTAACCCTTGCACTCGAGAGGTGACTTGGTTTGACACAGTAAAACTATAGAATCTGATATTTAACACTAGAACTACCGTACCAGTCAAAATGACTGGTTTCGATTTTTTTGTTCAGCAATTATTGATCGAAGCATTGAATATTCGAAATGATTTTGAATAAATAGCTTCATTTGAGTACTATAATGAATGTCTGAGGAAACTGAGAATGCTTCGAAGATATCAATAATTGCTAAAAAAATCGAAACCAGTCGATTAAATTATGAAAAATGACTAAATTGTATCTACAGATACAAGATTAGGTCCTTCGAATCTCAAGAAACGTATTGTTCTGATTACAAAAATCTAGAGTAGTATAATATCGTCTTTGTGATAAGGGTTAAAAAACCTACCCTAAAATTATTCGATCCTCATCCGAATTTCGCACTGAGAAGGAAAATAAAATATCAAAGAAATGTTACAGCATTTCTAATTTTCGCTATACAATAAAAATTAGTCGCAGTTGCCGATCGATGGCAAAACAACCCGAAGCGCCAAGGGTTAGTACGCGACTCGTGTAACTCGCAATTTGCGGATTAACCGTATCCCCGAAATGACGTGAGTCACCGCGATTAGCGGATAGATGTACGCGCATATATTATGCGCGACGGTGGCGGCCGTCTAAATAGAGAAATATTTATTCGCAAATTCAACCGCGCTGCCCCTGAGCCGGCGGGTGTCCCGTTTTATTCGGCTGATGTGCCAATTCGAAAGTGCCGTCTACTTCCCGGATCGGAAATCTATAAACGTGAAACGACGTTGTTTACGCGTCCTGCCCGATAAACAACGATTAGCGTGCTGTAACCGGGCGAACGGGGACGAAAGAAACTCGAGCAAGGCGCGCAACAAGTTCCATTTCCCATTGCTCGGACCACGTTGCGCCGAACGTCCGTTCGGTAATTAGTAACGTTGTTAACGAACGAGCGCAACCGTGTTCCTGGTTATACGAACTCGTCCAGAATATCGTAACACGAACACGATCGAACTGCTGGTATCGATATCGACTAATCAAGGTTTACCCTTTTCCTCGTTATTAGTAATTAATGGGAAAACCAGCGAATAAGTCGCTATGACTCGTTCGTGGTTCCATTTTGCGATTATTAAGAGACGACAGAGGAATTGAATAATTGAAGAGATTGATTGACCGATTCGCAAACTGGATTGTAAATCAATTGAAGTTTATAGAGATGCAATCTCTAGTTTCTATGGAGGAATTTGAGTAAGTCAATTGAACCCTTTGCACTCGAGAGTTTCTTATTAGAAATATTCATCATTTTTTGATGAAGCAAAGAAAAAAATATTTCACGAGGCATTATACGAAGTTCAACATTAACCCTTAGCACTCAGACAAAAATTTGTCTAAGAACAGTAGAGCAAACTGTACAGTAATTATCAGTAAATCTAGCGTTGATCACTTGCTTAACACATTGCGTACCGGTAACGAGAAATCTCGTTTTTATATAGACACTTAGCTATGCAACTTTGCTAATTACCACAGCATTGAAAAAATATAAAATTTAATTCGAATTGATTATCTATTTAAAATATATTACATAACAATATATCTGAGTTTTTCTATGTGCAGTGATATAAGTTGATCTCAGTGAAAATTGCCATCCGCAAAATTCAGTTTTCTGAAAATTACACAATGCGTTAACAACGAACTCAAAGACTCGGCAGGATGTCGAGGAATTTTGCATTCTACTAAAACCAGCGCCGGAAGGAAATACGTCAGATGCTGGTGTCGCGCGACACGTCGGAAAGAATCGCGGAGGCAAGCAGAAACGACGACGCAGGTCTCGCGGAACCTGCTTATTACGCGCGTTGCTGACGCCAATGCGTAAACGACCGAAGGTTGCGAAGGGCCAGCAGAAAATCTGAGCAGCCCCGCTGAATAATTCACCGGGCGAAACCGATCGTTTTATTCCTGGCCGAGGAACGTGAAAGTAATCGTCGATCTAATTGCGATCGATCCTCGCTACGTCTGCGGCTGTTTAAGCCTTTAACCCTTAGCACTCGAGATGGTTTTGTAATTTATCAACTGCAACTAATTTTTATGCTATCTCCAGTGAAAATGAAAAATGTTATAACATTCCTTTTATTTTCCTCAGCACAAAATTTGGATGCGTGGAAAATTGAGTAACTTTAGGGTGGTTTCTTTGATTTATTAAAATATTTGATAACTGGTACAATATTGGAGCCTACAGAGTTCAAAGGGTTAAAGATATTTAACAACATTCAACCCGGCGGTCCACAAATAAAGCATTCTTCTACGTACTACTTTGCAGCATTTTTACCTTCACAATACTTTTAAGAACTCACACAACTACTCAGACTCTGATGATCGTTACTGATAACGTGAAAAGTACCGAAGTAAATAATCGCTGCCAAATGAATAAACAACTTATCATTTTATATACGCCGAACATAGAGACTTCAAAAAAATGCGCCGGGTTTCGTCTAGAATTTCTGAAACTAAGTATCGATAGTATCAGCACCAGCTAAAGTCGCTTTATCAAAAAATGTTCCCCGGCCTTACGAAGTCCACAACATCGCCTTTACGACGAAGGCTAAATATAATAGATTGTAGTATAATTTAAAACTAAACATTAACATATATATTAACCTAATTAGGTATACGAGTATGGCAATGTAGATCATATCTCGCCCAGAATTTCTCGAAACAAAGTATCGATACCATCAGCAACAGCTACAATAATTAACCTCAACTATCTATCCATCGTTCGCTAACGATCCGACGTTTCGATTGCAGATGGTGCATCCGAAGAGCGACGAGCAACGGCAGAGGCTCAGCGACAGCGTCAAGAATATTTTTCTGTTTCGGGCCCTAGACGAGGTAAGTTTAAACATAGTATACGGTACACCGCGCCGCGCCGCCGCTTCTGCTGACGATGATGCCTCCGCCGACGTCTCCGTCTCCGGTTCGGCCGTAATTGAAACGGGAATACGGACGGAGCGGCGAGAGGAGTTCGCGCCAACTCGTGGAAATGCCAATGAGTACGTGTAATCTGCTCAACTGGGATTCCGAATCGGAGGGAGCTTATCCAAGGGAGCCTGGGCTCCGAGAGTAGATACAAATATAAACCTCTAATGACCGCGGGCCGGCTACTCTCTCGCGTTACTTTCAATATACTCGCGCGCGCGAGCGAGTTCGGCCTGAAAGCTTCAATTTTCCCCCGTTAAAGTGGAGATATTATTCGATTAGCTAATTACGCGAGCGAAATTCACCGCGGCGGGCCTGTCGGAGCTGGGCTACGTGTTTCCACCTGACGTTCTAGCCAGCGCACGACACGACACGACGGTTTAAGAATAAACCGTTTAAGATCGGAGATTTCGCTGTTCGCGCGGCTATTTATAAAAGATTCAATTTCAAATTCTGTCCCGACGTTCCAGAATCCGTGCGGTTCCGATTGGAAACGCGGCTTTCCTTACGATCGCTGGTACGTGTCTCGCGGGGCACCGGGGGGCCGACGGGAAATATCTTCGAGGAATTCGATTGCACGTTTCGGTGACCTGGCAGTCGGTTGATTGGACGTGTTTTAACCTCTTGCCCTGGGATTTCGTAATTATGGTTGATTGAGACGTATTCTTCGTTCGTTAGAAAAATGGAGAATTCTGTGCTTGTTTTATGTCTATGTTTATTTGGGAGCTGTAGAATTAACCTTTGAACTCGAGGACTTTAAGCCATTTAAAATTTGCGAACTGTGAAATTTTGTCTTTGAATGTATTCTAAGATTTGTATCTATAATCTATGGAAAACAATAATTTATTTATATTCATTTATATGTATTTATTTATACGTTAATATGCTCTATTAAAATTCCTTCGGATTGCTGGTAATATTAGAGAAGCTTCGAGCGCAAAGGGTTAATAATAGAAATTAATATTCGATTCGGACTCGGAAGAATTGATATTTAGATTTGCTGAATTCTGTTCGAGATCTTTGTACGAGTCCGATATTGAAGATACTTCGAAACGATAATTTGATACTTTATTTGAAAGTCTTCGATGAAGTTAGAATAAATGTCAATTACTTGATTAACAGGAAAAAGGAAACTACCGAGAGTAATTAAACCACTTCTCCGCGTAGTTTTCCACGTACAAACACTTCATCTCCAAACGTCGCATTCGTCCGCAAAGGGTTAACTCCGTGTCAGACTCGCGGAAGATTTCAAGCAGAACAAAAATAATATCCAATTCGTTCGAATGCAAATTACATATTCCTTATCAACGATTATACCTTACAGCACGCGTTAACGTAGAACAAGACTGAAATTCCCTTATTTCCGCTGAATTATTAATAACAAGGTAGTTAGGTCGGTCGTAGTTCAGAAATAAGTCATAGGGCAAGGGGTTAATCTGCGAGCAAAGGACTGGACCGCGATCGTTGCGGTCTTCGGGAACCAACGTGCACTCAGTTTCCATTGATATTCCAAAGAGAGCAGAAAATTGTTTCTTCCCGAGGAATCGACGTTTCCATTTATCTCTCAGCCGAATGCGAGTGTCGAAGTCTATTCCAGTCGACGGAGACCTAACGCGGCCGACGCACGCGGAATCCGGAATATCTCCTCGAAGTGTGTTAAGGATACTCCCGAAGAGCCAGAACGTTAGCGGGTTGAGCGTTTCCGCGTAGAGCCGCGGCGATGGCCGGCGCGTCCTTGGTCGCGCTAGAAAACGGCGGCGTCGGTCGGTATTCGCGGCACGCGTACACACGCATCCCACGGATTCTTTTCGCAGGAACAAATGGCGGACGTGTTGGACGCGATGTTCGAGAAGACGGTGCAGCCGGGCGAATACATTATCCGGCAAGGCGACGACGGCGACAACTTCTACGTCATCGAGAGGTAAATTCTTTTGTGCTCCGCGGCATAGAGCTTCAGCGGACCGTGAATCTGATTACTGAACATTGTAACCGATTTTACAGAGGAAAGTTCGAGGTGTACGTGAAGAATCAGCAAACCGGCCTGGAGTCCATGATACACGTGTACGATAACCGCGGCGCGTTCGGCGAGCTCGCGCTGCTCTACAACATGCCCAGAGCGGCCACCATCAAGGCCATCACGCCCGGCACGCTGTGGGCGATGGACAGGCAAACGTTCCGGCGCATACTGCTGAAATCGGCGTACAAGAAGTGCAAGATGTACGAGGACCTCATCAACAGAGTGCCGATGCTGAAGTCCGTCGAGGCAAGTGTCGCGGACAACGGCGGGACGGTGTCGCGCGCTCGGAACGACCGGGGGGAACGCTTCGGGACGCAACGGGAAGCTAATCGTTCGCCGGGACACCGGCCGCTCCAACGGATCCGCGCGAGTTAGAGGCAATTGGCTAGGTGGGGTCGGCTCGACCTGTATTAGAAAACCGTCGGTTCGCCTGCGACTCGCCCGAAAGTTTGTGTGCTCACCTCGTGAGACAGAAATTGCCGGGATCGACGGTAATCGCCGAGATGAATTTAATGCTCGCCGTCTAACGCCGGTGTATTCGGTCGGGGGAGTTTCTCTTTGTTCGCCGCTTTATTGGATCGGAGTCGGCTCCACCCTGCCGGTTACGTAACGAGGATTTCGCCTTGTCCTCGGAGAATTAAGTGCATGCGATCGCTAATTCGGTTTGCCGATATTTCGAGGGTAATGGGAGTATCGGGCGGGTGTCTGTGAAGTACGGTTCGAACGAAAGTTTACTCGGTGCTGATTGTGAAGTTGGGGGGAGTTGCGGAAGGTTTAGCCCGACGTGTTACTTTATTGAGATATTCTGTCACTCCAGCCGTACGAGCGCATGAACCTGGCGAACGCTTTACTACCGAGACAGTATTCAGACGGCGAGCAGATAATCAGGCAGGGCGACACCGCCGACGGGATGTACTTCGTCGAAGACGGCGTCGTGAGGATCACCATAGTCGGAGACCACGGTCGCGAGATTGAGGTACGTCGATCGGTTTTCATTCTCCATCGCGGCGGCGTAGCTGCGGCACGACCGGTGACCTAGATACCTCGTAATGACTTGGTACCGCCGTCGTGGCTGGCTAGCAGACCGCCACGCTAATTACACTGTCAATTGTATAGATGTCATTTGGTATTCTATTTGCCGGCACAGATTAATAGAGTCCCCGCTGGTGGGTACTTAGGCGAGCTGGCGCTCGTCACACATAAACCTCGCGCTGCTTCGGCCTACGCTGTGGGCGACGTAAAGCTGGCCTGTAAGTTATCCTTTGATACTTCGCGTCGGTAGCGTCGGATTGTCGATTACCGTGCTGGCGAACAGCTGTGACAACTGAGAGCTTAGCGGTGAACCGTTGTGTCCTGCGAAGTATCGGCAATCCGATGCCATCGAGACGCATCCGGTAGAAATCAGTTCTCATGTTGTTTCTCTCGACGAGTATGAATGGTGTTCTGTATTCGACGAGCGACTGACGAGCGTGTGAAGTGGGCTGCACGACGATACGCACCGGTGCTTAAGAAGGAATTTTTTCAGTTTTGGACGTTGAAGCTTTCGAACGCTTACTTGGGCCTTGCATGGAACTCATGAAGCGTAATATCGACGATTACGAGGATCAGCTAGTCAAAATCTTTGGCAGCAAAGCTAACGTAACCGA